AAAAGTTGCGTCCGCGCTTCATTGGTCCTTTCTTGGTCGTCGCAAAGAAGGGACTTGCGTATACGCTCAACCTTTTGCGCAAAATGCGCACATACACCGTGTTCTACGTTGGTTTGCTTAAGCCGTATCGGGATCCGTCCCACGTGAACTCGGAGGCGCTTGCGCCTGGAAATAAGGCCTTGACGTCGACTGTTGCATCCGAACCATGAGGTCAAGCTGACCATCCACACGGGCTAAGGCCAACTCGAACGCCTGAACAGGGGCTTGCATCGCGCCGGGTTCATTCTGGGTCTAACCCAATGTCTCTTGGAGACCACTCAGCTCAAGGAGCGCCTTCTAATGCTCCTCCTTCGGTACACCGACCACCACCGACGCTGCTCGATGAGCAAGGGAACCACCAGTTCCATGTGGAGAAAATATTTCAACGACGTCGTCGTCGTGGCCAATACCAGTATCTGGTGAAGTGGCGAGGGTACCCGGAGTCGGAGAACTCGTGGGAGTATGAGATACCCCTTCGGCAGGACTGCCCTTACGCCGTGGATGTATTTGAACATCGTGGTCAGGGTCGCCTTGCGAACGAGAACGCTTCTCACCAATAGTGCTGGGGGGCCGTGTGTTGCTCCGCACATTAGGGTCGTGAACCGTGGCTACCATCGTAGCAGGAGCATAACGCGCACGTGTACGCAACTGGCCTCTGGCCTTAAGTTTGGGATACTCGAACCGAAGCTTTCGTTCCAACCAAACGTCGGACACATCGGCGCTGGCTCGCAGCGCTGGCACACTGCTAAGGTGTCGCTTGCGAGACACCCAACGGATGAACTGACTGTCCTCCTCCTCGAAGAATTCGCCAGCGAACAAGAAGATGGGCACGCCATTTATCGCTCGAGCCGAAACACCACGAGAAAGACTCTCAGGGTGTGCAAGGTACTGACCTTGCGTGGTAAAGGCTTGTTCGAGATACCTCTCATTTAGAGCCTTGCGAAAGGCGATATCTTCTGGCGACGTATCCTCGGGGCCAATGGCCCATGTTGAAAGGCTACGGCCTTCCGCTTGACGGAGACGTTGATCCACGTCAGGTGTTGCAAACACGTAACCACTCCGGTTCTGAACAACCGCCTGGGTATGCGCTCGGCGTCGAGCTTTCTCCTCACGCTGAAGGATTAGCCCCTGTTGCTCGTCGAGCGGGTTCGAGATGATGTTCTCATCTGCATCTGTTGTAGGATGCTGCGCCACTGGTGCGGTGGTATCACCACGTTCAAAGAACGGATTTGGAGCTGTTAGAGGACGATCCTCAGGTACAACGGAGTGGGACAATATCCCGTCATCTCCACCGACACTGGTACTACTACCATAGTTCACATCCTCATCGAAGTCTAGGTAAGAGGAAAGAGTCCGAGACTCGTTGGGTGGCAATGCCATGGTGTTTCGTGTTTAGAAACCGTGAGGTTAAGCCACACACACACACCGACCTCTTCGAGGAAAGAAGCCGGTTGAAGTTTTGTGGTAACGTCAGTCTGGTGGGGGAGGGTGTAACGGGGTTACACGTCGGCTGGTAGTCAACAATAGGTGTGGTGCACACAAGAGAGGGGGTACCCTATAAAGTAATTTTAGAACACAGTGAGTGTATCAATTGTTGAAGACTGAGGTCTGTCAACAATTGATTACGAGTTCTTTTAAGAGGTTATTTAGGGCAGGTTAAATACGTTGTTCTAAGGTGTTCTTTTAGGTTTAATAAAGAAATAAAAATTCAGTTCTCCTTTTGATCACTGAAAGACACGTGCCTTACGAGGCGTCTTTGATCGGTAGGAGCTAGAAATACCTGTGAAGGTAGCTGCTCCTGAGCACTCTGTGCTGTGATTCTCTTGAATCGTTTGGTCTCCCTGGAACAGGGACCGTAAGCTCTCTGAGCTTGTTGACTCTCTGAATCGGGTTCGTAGAACCAAAGTTGCTCGTAAGAGCGTTAAGTCTTCCTCTGACTTTAGGAGCTGTGTAGCTCCGCTATAGTTTAGCCGTGGGTGCATGTTTGATCACCTTATTATGTAATTTTTTTGAACTAGCGTGGCCTGGCTCCGTTAAAGGTGCATTTCTGATCAGCTTATCCTGCAATATTCGAAGTGAGGTGCCTGAATGTGATACAACGGTTGCCATATGAACATTAGGTCCAATGGATAGGCGGTGGTGTATTTAGCAATAATGCTAGGTCTATCTAGCCTATCTCAGGGTTTGTAATGTTTCCGCCACGAAGAACCTTCATTCGACATGTAAAGGGTAGTATCTCTATGAAGAGAAACTTGTTACTACAAATAGACATATGGAATCAATTGCATCATTCAAGCAATAACTAAACGTGCAACTTGTGGACGGCAAAATTTTCGAATTGTGCAATAGCATTTTGTATGCTACGCACAACTACATACTGGCGACATGAGGCATCGTTTAATGTATGCATTTGTCCTTCTTTGTCTTTATAAAACGAAATGGTACAAAGCGGTACGATGTTGGATTTCCCTGGCTCTGGAATCGATATCTGGCTCGAAGTATAATCGTACTTTGCATGCATGCCGAAGCTACCCAATCTATGAGAAACAAACACATCACGTGTTGCTTACATGGTGGTCGGGCATGACGTCCGAGGCAATGAGCATTGACGTACACGTAGACTAAGTGCTACCTGGTATGCTATTAATCTTGTTGCGTGATTGCGTGCACGCAAAACCGCGGGTGGAAGAACGATCGAGGACCAATTACCGCCGCGTCATTGTCGTGATGTTCTCGCAGGTTTGCTTGAACACCGTTTGCCTTTTGCATTGTTGGGAGCATTACAAGCTCTTCTGGGAAAAGGCGGTGGTCACTGGAATACGAGAGTCAGCGACAAAACAGTTTGCTCGATGCAATAGTCACCACCTAACACACGTCGCATCAATGACATTGAATACAGTATGACATCCACGTTTTTGTATCAGAACAACGTAGATACGTAAATTCTGCGCATTCCTTTGCTTCTGGACAGGAGTCCTATATGCAGAAGGTCTTGTCATAGCACACTCCACGTGCTGAGCGCTGTTCATGCTGCAAGTATATTCCTTTTGTGCGACGCCGTTGTCTATCTTTTTGCAGGATTGGTGACGCAAAGCAACGAAATTGTTCGCTCTGTTCATGGATCAAGTCAAGTGATAAAACGAAACTTTGTCGCGCAAACGACGAGCCAACACCACACCTATCAGTTTGTCAACAGCAGATACCGCCAGTGTGCCCCGATATGCCATCGCTGCTCTGTCTAGTACACAGGATGTTCTATCGTCACGAAGAGAGAGAGGTTTCCATTGTTCTATTTACAAGAGGCTGACTCGATGTGCAAGGTCTCGGATATGTGGAGTCCACCGCGGTCATATTCCATGGCACTATCGAACTCGGTCTCTCTTTCTCGTTCTGCTGGCTTGGCACCTCGCATCACGAGGAGGCACTATTGGCTGGGCACGAGGGCGTGACCAATGACCGAGCCCGGGGTCAAATTCGGTGCGCATTCTCGCCAGATGGCTGGTCTGCTCGCGATAATGACGACGTGTAGGCGTACGTAATGAAAAGAACGTCCTGCAATTTTCGAGGTTGTTTGCGTTCATCGGTTGACAGAAAGGGTTGCGGAGAGTGACACGATCGCGCTGGTCGTTTCGTAGGCCCGTTCATGAGTATTGGAATTCGCAGGAGAAGCTGCGGTGTCTAAAGCTGCCAATGAATAAGGTGCTCTTTGATCTAGATCTGCCGTCGGTGGTGACACGGTCATCGGCGCATGCAAGTCGTTCCAATGCTTGCACCTTCACGTCTTGCAAAAGGAGCAGGACGACGACGAAAGCGATCACTACGTATGGTCAGTGCTAATGCAGCTTGTCGCGGGCCAAGCCCGCAAAGAAGTGGCGCAGATCAACAAGTTTGCGCAGTTACGCGAATGGCATTACCGGCTCTGATAACGCAGGTGCAGGATGGCAAGATAAGGGCACTACACGCCAGAGACGTGTGGCTCCGCACCGGATAGAGTGGGGGCAGACTGCTGTTGAGACCAACGAGCACGAGTCGTGCCGAATCCCGGTCCGAGCTACGCTTTGAAGTTGCATGATGCGGCGGCGCGTAGGACTGTGGCTTGGCGACGATGGTGCACTGAATGTAGACCTGCTCGGCTGTTGAATGCAGCGATTGAAAGTATCGATGAGTTCGTCGAATTTGATCTGGTCGGACTGTTGGAGAAGACGTGAATAAACGGGCAGTACTGAGGGTACGACGTGCTTTGGAGAAACTGTCACCTCAATGTCCGACGCATTCGCATGACCGTCAGGTGGCGCTCAGCTTCGGCATGGACACAGACAGTACTAGCACACAAGAGCTGTCATTGGGCTATATCAGCGTGCCATACAATACTCGCACACTCGAGGCTGCTGTGACGTCTTCCAGCAAAACGAGCCACAGCGGAGTGTATGTCGGCTGCTTTGTCGGCACTGCACGGTGAGGAAACACATGCTATGCTCAAGTTCACTTGCTTGAGATGCTCGACCCAAACTCTGACACGACGGCAATTGAGAGAGATGAGTGGACACGGAAAGTATCATCGATGGAACAGTTGTCAAGGATTGTGTGAGGAAGGATCAGTTTCATACAGGCGGCCGCCTAGAAACCGGATGGCCAGGTCGTCCTCTTCTGTCGATATGAAGCAGAACCCCTAAGAGTTCATACAATTCGTCCGTGACTTAATATGAGGTCCTTAATGATATTAGGCATAAGAGGTTGTATAGTCATCCTACCTCCCTCTCGTTCCTCGAGCAACTACATTTTATTTAACAACGAAGGGTTATTAGCTAGTAGAAACATAGCCAAGAGGAGTTCTTTTGTATTAGCTGTCACCTGACCACCGAGTACTTGGTGCCAATCATTCGCTTCGGTAAGCCTCAGCATCAGTCATTGCGCAACTTGCCGTCTCGAACCCACTACCTCCTGCCGATCCGAGTCGTCCAATGCGCCCAGCGATCTTCTTGTCCGCAGCACTGCTCTGCCTTGTGACATGTGGCAATGCCGTCAAAGCAGCGTTGGACTTGCAGAACCCCATCTCGTCGGACGTCAGTTCGCCTGTGGTGGCCAACGACAATCGGGTTCAATCTGATGAGAGCACGAAGCAACGGCGCTTGTTTTCGACGTGGGAAGAGAAGGATTCGGAATCTGATGATGACTCGCCGGCGGCTGCAGAGGACAGCACTGCCAAGGACGCGCAATTTGGCAATACAGGCGCGCCAGCTCGTGAAAGCACCTACGCCCCCGACAGCGATAGCAATTTGGTCAGCTTAAGTGTCCCTCACAGATTCGGCGACCGTGTCCTCCCAGGCCCTCATTCGAAACGCAGATTCCGAAAGCGTCGATACTGGTTTGCGATGAAGTACGCAAGGTATTTTTACAGCAAACACCGGAACCGTGCGCAGGTGCTGCAAAAACTCGCCTTGAACCAATTGAAAGGCGGTCTTATTGCTAGGTACAGCACGTTTATCAACGAAGGCTACCTTGATTATCTGGACTTTCAATGCGCCAATCCTATCAACAAGTTAGAGCTCGCTTGTGCATAGACGCACGCGTGATCCCATCTAATAAACGAATTGGTGAATGTGTCACGTATTCGCTTGCCGTCCTATTTTGTTGATGTTATCTGAAATTTTTATTTAGCCTAGATACAATTAACGAAGCGATTCGATAATCGCTGTCGGCCTTTAGTGAATTCTCAACCGACGCACAGAACGGATCTCACGTCCGATCGTGTTACGACATGGGTATAGACTAATGACAAGACACCGCACGTTTTCCTAAGGACGTGTGAGCCTTAGTAATGTCGTGACCAACCATTAGTGCCACTTTTTTATTCAGTCTTACAATTTAAAATGGGATTTATAAGTACCCACCCACCCCTTTAATACGTACGTACCCACCTGAAATAGAGGCCCTCCTTAAGTACCGTAACCTTCCTAGCGAGATACCGCACACTTATACATACAAAATGGAATATAAATATTCTTTGCTTTGTACACACCCCTCCGTAATACAGGTCTCTTTTGCGGCAGCACATAGCCTTCCGTATGAAATCCGCTCTCATTATCCGGTACACCGCCCTAAAATTGATGTTAAATATCGGTCGATGTCACAAAAGAGCTTACACCATGACACTCTTCTTGGTTCGCAGACACGCAGCATGACCGAAGTGGCACTCATTGAAGCCCGTCTGTCAACTGTCGTTATGACACTTACGCACGCTTTAAGAACGCCTTTGTCATTCTGGGGAGTTTTGTTCTACCCAGGAGGTTTCCCTCCCGTCCGTCATTTACATACACCCGCCCACAAGAACACACGAGATTTGCGACTCCGTCGCGGTCCCTTTCCCCCCTCGCCTCCTCTTCTCTCGCGGCCGCCCCCCTTTGAGGCCTGGCGGTGGGGGGGGCGTTCCTTTCCTTCCAGCCTGGATGGAGCTGTCCCTCTGCTGGGGCTCGGACCCGCCACCCTCCGGGCAAACCGCCGCGGGGGACTGCGCCCCCCCCCCCCCTGCCCGCCTCATAATGGTTTGGGCACGAACTGTAATACTTAGGTGACACAGTCTGTTCTCCCTCACATTTAATGGCGGACCAAGTAAAAGGCTTATACAACTGCTGCGAATGGGCTTTTGAATGCGTTGTCTCAATCAAATGCTGCAGACTTTACTTGTACTAAACAATGGTGCGAATACTTTGCGGACAAGCTCATCAAAACACGTGCACAAGGGGTTCCGTCAAGTGCAGCATAGCCAAGCTGATGCCAGCAGTGCAGTCAGGTTAAAGCTGGTTGCCCCTTATTTTTCGAATAGCCGCTCGAGTTGGATGGCTATGTTGGCATTCGTAGATGGATCATCCAGCACCAAAACCCGTTGCTGCTCCTTGAAGGTGCAGCCATGGTGTGAGCAACCAGCTATAAAGGTTCATTTAGATATGCAGAGGATAACGTTTAAAAAGGTTAAGGTGTGCGTCGTAATGTGTTTAGATAATTTACTTTTCCGCGATACATGCTGCTGCCAACGTTGACAATGCTGCCCGAGACATCATTATACTGATCGACATGGGCGATCGGTAGACAAGCTACACGCTATAACTTGAGAGAAGTCAGACTAGTAAGCACGCCCCAAGGTACGTACTCTGCGACACTGATATCGTAGACTCACGAGTGAAAAGCTACCAATTCAGGCAGTGACTTACACAAGTTAGATCATGACCAGGCCTCCCTACTTACGGGTCTCCCGTAAATACCGTAAATAAGCTATTTACGGGACGAGGTCTGACCTTAGATACGGTTATTTACGGGTCCTTTTTTAAAATATTGCGAAGAGCGAAAGCAGTTAGGACAGCTGAGTATCAAAGGACTGTGTTTGTATTCATTGTCTCCGCAAAAAACGTAAGTCTCTGCAGAAGCTTGAACCCCCTTGCGTGCATCACGCCTTCCAGAGAAAAGTCTGTCAAGCTCATCCGGTGGATGTCTTTTTTTCCATTTTAGAATGGAGAAGTCGCTCTTTACAGAGAACGATACCGAAAGAGTGATTGCCAATCCACCACAAAACATCTTAAGCTTCTTAAATCGACCACTTGTGAATTTCCAGGCCTTGCTGAAGGGCGTTTGGTATGTACACTTGTCCAATAGGTTACGGGAGGGCTCTTCATTGCGCTAAGCATTTGTGAGATCACGGAAATCGGTTTCAAGGTAGTCCATTGTCGCTTCTGAAGAAATAGGGGCCCAGCGAGCAGCGAGACGTTTACGTTGTGCGCTTACAATAGCGGTCAAGTCACGTCCATTCAGCGTCACCAGCTCGTGCGGCAGCACTGGTAGCAACACGTCCAAGGAAACGCCATTCAGGGAGTTTCGTTCGGCCACGACTTCGTCTAGTCCAGCGATCGCATTCAATAGGCCCTTGCTCAAGTTTCTTGCCAGGTGTTCCATGCTGGCATGCCCGGCATGTTGCATGCGATTGGATACAAAAACACCTATGTCTTCCAGAAACGTGGTCATATCTGCGATACGAGCTGAGTAGAAATCGTTGCTGGACACAGCGCCTCTCTCGATGTCGATGTCTTCACAATGTCCAGAAGCTAATTGGACGTTTGCTTTGACATAGTCTTTGTAGCAAGTCCGTAGATTGGCGTGGCTTGGCGCTGCCGAGAGACCAGAGTGTCATCCTTTTGAAGTTGCTTAAAGGTAGCGGTAGCGGCTGCGGACACATCTTCGACGAACATTAGGACTACCCACCATTCATGCGGCGGTTTGCAGGGCGGGTTCTTCGTCTCCAGGTACTCTTTGATGGCCACACGGCGCGTTTTGAACCATCTGGCGACCTTTGACATGGATTCCCACCTTGCTTCTGCGAGTGTGCGACATTTCGTTCCCATGTCGTTAATCAGGTTCTGTTGACGGCGCAGATATCTAATGAGTGCTATTAGCATTGACAAAAATTGTTTGTCCATTATTTCTTCGTAGAACGATCGCAATTTCAAGTCCAATTAATGTAAACCACACCAGATGCGGTAAAATCCAGGTAATGCTGCTTGTTCAAATGGCGTGGCCACCCGGCCAATGTGGCCGGTCCTTCACGGTTCGCCGTCCGTTGGTATTAAAATCAGCATAGTCTTCCAATCAGTGCAGAGTACTTTAGCACTGCCGAAGCGTGGCGGTACACTTCTGCTGCTGTATGCCTGCAGAAAATTGGAATCACAATCAAGTGCAAGTTGAGGATCTCGGCATGCCAAAAGAGCCGAATGAGGATATCCAGGTAAGAAGTCGACATATAGGTGGACATATTTAACGCAATTGAGAATGCCCAGCTATTGTCCAAGATGTCGTGAATATGTTGCAGATTAAAGGCCACAATAAAGCGAGCGTACTGATTGACCATTTCATCCTTGGCAGTGCAGATCTTCTCAACGCCGGTGAATTCTTTCGTCACGGTAACCAGAGCTTCTGCTTGGCGAAGGGAAACTCCAGTGCTGAGGAATTCCGCCACCACATTAATTGCTTTAGATTCGAGATGTCGATTCTATATTTGGTAGTGGCCAATCCAGGGTCTTCAACGGTATTGGGATCGATATCTTAGAAGATGTTAAGTGATGTTTTTCTGCAAATATTCGTCAGCCCATCGTCGTCGTCCTGGTCGAGAATTAGATTCCCGATGATGACGTCAACAATCGCTTTGTTGATGTAGAGCTGCATTGCCGTCTGGCTGCCGGCGAAGTGCGATGGAATGGTGTTCCTGTGCCTGACTGGTGCATTTCTTTGATAAAAGGTAGCCTTCTGGTCCCTTGCCAGGATTTTGAGCTGGTCTCAGCGAGCCTTGAGCTGCCGGCTGAAGTGCTGCACGTAATTGTCGGTTCGAAAAAGTTTTGTAAAAGACTTGATATCTTCGGTTCTGCACCACATCCGTTCTTCTTGGGCAGTGCTTGTGTCTGTGTCCTCTCGGCCAAAGAGAATACAGAAGAGACAATTAACTGAAACAACCTCCGACGTGGCTGCGTCCCGACTTGCGATGGAAAGTCCGTAATTGACTTTAAGTCTGGGTTGAAGGGCGTACGCAGCGTCGCCCGAGGCATAGCGGGTGCAGGGGAGTCGAGTATGAAGATGGCAATAAGGCGTGCTCGAGACAGAGTGCGAGAAAAAGGGAGGTGGGAATGGCGAGTTAAAGGAGGGAAGACAGGCGAGAGCGCCGGTATAGATTAGGGTGCCGCCAATAAAAAAACATTTATTAGGCTCCTATTTACGGGACAACCTGGACCTTGTTTACGGTTATTTACGGGACAAGTACAATTTCCCCTGGAATAGGGAGGCCTGATCATGACCCAGCACTATAACGAACACCGTAACTATTGACAAGAGCGTCACATTAGTATCGTAAAGGTAGTTGCTACTTGCCCAGACAAACAATGAACATGATCTTCTATTGTAGCGTTGACGCGCGTGCCACAGCAACAGGTTCGGGCATACAATATCTATGCTACGGACGGACCTTATATTTTGATGGCAAGACGTAAAGAACAGTGCAACACGGAGCCTAAGACAGCGACAGATGATGAAAAAGACGTTAGCTTGAGCATATCGCCATGGTCCCAAAGGAGAGACGACCGAATAAATCCGAACGAGTTGTCGCTTGCTATACGAGCTCGATAGCCTTACTGACGCCATACAGCTGGGATCCGCCGGTTTCGCTGCCATGACTACAACCCCTTTCGACTTTTTACCACCGTCTCTGTCTTAGGCTATCTTGACGAAATTTGTGTCGCTCCCATGCTCTTTAACGGTCCCCTGATATTGTACGCATACTAGTCATAGAACAGAAGAGAAACTTGAATGTATAATGCCTTACGAGAAGCACGTGAATAGAGCGGTTAAATCGTTGCACTTTAGTTACACCAATGTATAGTCAATCGGGAGCCTCAAATATTAAAAACTTGGTATTAGTCTCAGCGCGAGGCAGCATCATCGATTCGCCAGAGCATAGACCGTAAAAATGGCAGCAAGCAGTGGCAATTCTTTCTTTTTTTAATAAACCAGATAGACGTATGCTAAATAC